GCTGAAATTGAGAGGTGTGGAGTTCTCATCTTTTTTAGCCTTTCAAAATCAACTTCATTCTTCTTTGATAATGAATCATGTATATTGGTTTTGTTATGAATGCTTGCGTCTTTGAATCACCGTATCACATACTGATGGTTGTGTTGAATCCGTTCGGATTTGCTTGGCTGCTGAAAATGCTGTAGAAGTGAAGAGAAGGGACAGGAGATGGCAAACATTATTTAAATGGTTTTAATTAGAATGTTGATTTAATCTTTGTCTATTGACATGAGGATGTAGTCAACGTCATCCTCTTAAAATTGGTCTTTTGTTGGATACTGTATGTCTTGAAACCAAGTGATGTAAACTTTAACTGGCAAAAAAGTTTGGGGTATTCTTGCTGTAATCTTTGTTCTTCCCTTTCGGTCATTGCTTGTGAGGTAATGTTTGATGGTATTTATGTGTTGCAGGAGAGGAGCAATTGTCACGACTTTCATTGTATGTTATGCTCTCACATCATTTATTGCTGGTTATGTAAGTGGGGGGATGTATTCTCGCCATGGGGGTATGCATCTTTGTCCATTAGTCAGCTGATTTTCTGTTCTCGTTGTCATCCTTTATCATTTGCTTATGGCTCTATTTTGGCTGCCAGGTAAAAGTTGGATCAAGTCGATGATTCTCACTGCCTGTCTATTTCCATTTATGTGCTTTGGCATTGGGTTCATCCTGAACACAATTGCTATATTCTATGGATCTTTAGCTGCAATTCCCTTTGGCACCATGGTGGTTGTTTTTGTAATATGGGCTTTCATCTCCTTCCCTCTGGCCCTTCTTGGCACTGTTGTTGGAAGAAATTGGAGTGGTGCTCCAAACAATCCATGTCGTGTGAAAACCATTCCCCGTCCAATTCCTGAGAAGAAATGGTACCTCACACCATCTGTGGTCTCGATGATGGGAGGACTTTTGCCCTTTGGCAGCATATTCATTGAGATGTACTTTGTCTTCACATCCTTCTGGAATTACAAGGTGAACATATCTGTTTTATTTTTTATTGGAACAAACAAAATTATATCGATCTCTTGTATAATGATTGTTTCTTGATTTGATTTTCACTGTGTTTTTGTGTGGAGCAAATATTGTGTATAAGTTTAAGGTTAAAACTTTCATCAAATGTGTATGACGGTAGTTTGTTACATTGGCAGACTTCAAGCGAGTTTAATTATCTATGAAAACCTTGTTGCTTAATAACCTATTTGGAGTTCTATTTCATAAGGGCATGGACATGCTTATCGATGTCTGGCCAAATCTTTTAAAACGAATGAAGAACTTCAACATAATTTTTTTCCTGCTTGGAAAAAGCATGTTGCAAATATAATATATACTAACCATTCTGTGCTCAAATCCAATTTGTACTTGAGTGACTGTTTTCTTGGGTACCCTATCTTAGTTTTTATTTTTATTTTTTTATTTACATTAAAATGTTTCTGATCACTCGTATGTCTTTTGTTTATGGATGAGAACTGGAAAGCAAATGCATAATACAGATTAAGCAATGTATCTGCTTGACGCTGTACTAACCTTGCTGCTGTTACTGGTTGACAGGTCTACTATGTATACGGCTTTATGCTGCTTGTTTTCCTGATTCTCATTATTGTAACAGTTTGTGTAACAATAGTGGGGACATATTTCTTGCTTAATGCTGAGAACTATCACTGGCAATGGACTTCATTCTTCTCTGCTGCCTCAACAGCTGTTTATGTGTACTTGTACTCAATATATTACTACTATGTGAAGACTAAGATGTCGGGCTTCTTCCAGACAAGCTTCTATTTTGGATACACTTTGATGTTCTGTCTTGGATTGGGAATTCTCTGTGGTGAGTATGATATTTTTGTTGTTTATAATGCATAATACTGCTGTCACTGTTGCATTAGTGCTGACTTATTCTATTGTCTTTTCTCACTAAAATTTCCCCTCTTGTTTCTGATGGGAAACAGATTATACCTGTTAGTTTTGTCCTATAGTAATTTGTGACGAGCCCCACCGAGATTGCTAGTAGAGAGCAAATACTACCAATTTGGGTAGTGATTGATGCAATTTGAGACTTAATTGACCAGGGAGCAAGGATGCCCTAATCGTGCCCTTTTTTTGTTCTCTCTTAATGATTGATATGCCCTTTTTTTATTTGCATGTGCAGGAGCTGTTGGTTATCTAGGCTCCAATTTGTTTGTGAGGAGGATCTATAAGAACATTAAATGCGACTAGGGCATCACCAAAGAAATTTAGACCTGATTGTGCTTCATCAGAGCATGTTCTTATTGTTGAGACAATAATTTCTTAGATGAAGCCTCCGTTCATGTATGGGGGACTTAACAACGCAACAGATGATGGAACAGGGTTTTGGGATGGGGTATAAATTTATTCTTTCTCTGGACAAAGGGAAGCCCTGAGATATTTTTTGGTTTTCTTCCCCTGCTGTAAGTGATAGTCGTAATTTAGAATTGAGAGATTGTTTTGTAATCTGTGAAGCTAGAAAAATATATCAAACGCCTGTCATTTTGCTCTACGTTTTGCTATGGAAGTAGGTGCTCAACACCAAGGACGGGTGCCTATTATCCTTTCGTTTTTTTGTTGAACTTGTTCTTACTGTTCACTGATCCTGGGAAGAACGGTCATGTTTAGGTTCAGGAATGCATCTTGCACTGCTTCAAAACTCTGCTATTTTTGCTGTTTCTGCCAGGTAATTTGACATTGAACATTCTTGTAACTTCGTGTTCGACCTGTTCATGAGAAACAAAATCCTGACAAGGCCGGTTTTGTTGATTCCTAAGCCATACATTTTTTAAAGCAGTATCTGCACTTTCAGATTCACCTTGTGTTTTGTTATTATCTCTACTTGCTTTGAACTCTGCTAAATCCCTGGGCATTAAGGGTGTGTTTGGTAGAAACGGTTTTTAAAAAATTAAATTTTTTTAAAGTTAATATATTTTTTAATATTTTAATACATTAATGTTAAAAATAATTTTTTTAAAATAATCATAATTATATTCTTAAACGAACTCTAATAGCCAAGCGAATTCAATTTTGTCTGGCCCTGGAAAACATGTGGTGTGGTTTAGTCCCGTAGGCCATGAATTTTGTGATCTGAGGAGCATTAGGGTCTGGAAAGGGTCCAAGATGATTAGACCAATGGTGTTCACATCCATTTATGTGGTGTTCGTAGCATGATACGTGGCTGGGCTGAAGCTCGCTGTCTGTAGTACGGCGACGGGAAAAAAAGGAACGACGAGCTGCTAAAGGATTCAAAATTTCCCAACCATTCATTTCTGAGGGACGTTACAGTGCTTTTTCCTTATTGGTTGTCTGAGGTGTATTTTGAAATCAATATTTACAAAATTTACTAGCTATTTGACCTGTGATCATCATATAAAAAAAGTTTTCCAGCAGAAAAATTAAATTTGCAGGCTTTTCTAATATGTTTTTTAACAAAATAAAAATCTTAAATATAAATTAAAAAGTTTGTGTATGTATTTAATTAATTAAATTGAGAATTATTAGTGTTAATAAGTGAAAAAAAAAATCATTAATGACACCTGAAACTAAAAAAATTAAGTGATAAATAATATCAGGTAATATAATCAGTTGTGATTATATAGGTAATTTAACTAGTTGTGTTTAATTATTTTATTTATTAAAATTAATTTTTTATTTAATTAAATAATTATAGAATAGACACGTAAAATTAATTGCACATAAAATTAATTAAATAAAATTAAAAGAAAAAACTATTATGTAAGGTTGTACATTTTAAAAAACAAAATATCATAATTTTATGTGAAAACCAATTAAAAACCAAATAATATTTAACCAAAGAATAAATTAAAAACTTCTTGAGATATATATATATATATATATATATATGAATGTAAGCATATAATCTTGAAACACATATTATAGACTCAATTATATTTGATTAAACAACAATTAAAAAATACATAAAAATGATTTAATAAAATTAAAGAGAAAAAAAGTTAAGTAAGTAAGGTTGGACATAAAGAATCCCTCCCAGGATCAATTTTTTTTCTAGAATATATTCATAAACTAAGTAAAAAATTAATTATATTTTAGTTAAAAAAAACATTATAAAAACATGTAAAAACACCAATAAAAACAAAGTTTAAGCACACAAGTCTAGCATGAATGATCTACACAAGTGATACTAAAAAAAACCTAAATAAAATTTTTAAAATATCAGGGAGAATATGTATTAATTTAAATATAAACAAAATATTTTAAAAAAATACATATTAAAACATTAATAATTAAAAAAAAAAGATATTAGACGTGAGATTAACAAGCCAAGCAAGCTCACCAAATCCATTTTGAAAGGCAAAAAAATAAGAAAAATAAAACTGATCTTTTGAAAAATCAAGGGACCAAGATTTTAAGATTTGGAAAATGCGAGAACCAAAGAGAACTTCTATTTTTGAAACCACCACCGATTTCCTTTGTTTTCTCACTTCATTCCCTTTCTTTCAACCTCCAATCCTTTTCTTTTAATCTTGTCAATGCTTAATAAATTTAAAGTAATTGGTTTTTAATCTGTCCTAAAATGATGTAATAGGTTAAAAAAACTCGAGGATAAAAAAAATTGGCAGAATTTTAGCCTATAATGTTGGTCCCAAAAGCGACTTAGAGTTTATTATAATTAATAATTATAATTTTTTTTTTTAGAGGAGTTGGTATTTATTTGCAAGTAATCCTATTACAAAATACTTTTAACATCAAATAAAAAATAAAAAGATAGCAAAAGAAGTCAAAAGATGCCAAAAACTGCCATGGGATTGTGCCAGCCACAGTATTGGTGAAGAAGGGTGAACATCTGTGTGAGAGCGTGTGTGTGTGTGTGTGTGTGTGTGTGGTGATAATAGAAAGATAACGCCAGCCACCAAAGGTTGCCATTTGGCAGATAGGATTGTATGCCACTTGACTTCTCCTATTCTTAACCACACCATTTCCACAAACCTACCATTTATCATTCTAACAATAGCAGTAGCCTTACTCCAGCCTCCCACACTCAGAGAGACAGAGAGAGAGAGAGAATGGCCACCACAGCAGCCCTCTCCAGCGCCATGGTCAGCACATCGTTTACTCGCCGGGTGCCAGTGACAAGCCTACGGGCTCTTCCCAACGTGGGGGAGGCTCTTCTTGGCTTGAAAGCCAGTCGAGGAGGACGTGTTAAAGCAATGGCAGCACACACGGTGAAGCTCATCACTCCTGACGGTGAGAAGGAGTTTAAATGCCCCGATGACATCTACATCCTTGACCATGCTGAGGAGGCAGAAGAGATTGACCTCCCCTACTCATGCAGGGCTGGCTCATGCTCTTCATGTCTTGGCAAGATTGTGAAGGGAACTGTGGATCAGTCTGATGCTAGCTTCCTTGATGATGACCAGATAGAGGAAGGCTGGGTTCTCACCTGTGTTGCTTATCCTACGTCTGATGTTGTCATCGAGACACACAAAGAGGAAGAGTTTAGCGGTTAAATAAGATCTCTTTCTGTTTGTGTCGTCGGTGGTGTTCCGGCAGGGGGGGGATTTTATGATTGTTATTTCTACTGTTACTGAGCATGTAATTTAACTTGTCCCAAGTTTTTCTTCCTTCATTTGTGTAGTCTCAAATGAAACTGCGTTTACTTAATAAATCTGTAGTGTATGGGAATGTTTCCTCAACCGCCATGGATCTCTCTCTCACACACACACGCATGTGTACTTTTGCAAGTGTTTCTGTAAAAATGGATTTGTTTTGGATGCTTAATCTGAAACATTTTTAGCTTAAAAACACAGTTTCGAACACAGCCTTGGTGGCCTTCACTTGCAACCAGGTGCCTTTTAGCTTAGTTGGGCTAAGATCTTCTCTATGCCACAGATAAAAGTAAGGGAAGGCAAGAGCCCTGTACCGAGAGAATTGCAGTTGCAACTACAAGTGTGGAGGAAGATTATTACGAATTAAATATCGATTTTATAAAATTAAATTTAAGATTGTAGTTAATTTTTTTTTTTGAAAGATTAGAGATAAAAATAGATAAAAAAAAAAGAGAGTCAATTGCTCAAAAGGCATGGAAATTCTCAATCTAGTCTTTGAAGTTTCAATTTACTCATATTTGGTCCTAAAGTTTTAAGAGTTTATGTTTTTATCCTAAGATTTTTTTTATATTTCAGTCTATATGTATCGAGAGGTGAGAGATAAAATTATCCAAAAAAAAAAAAGGTTGAAAGGGATTGGAAATTATCAAAAAAAGAGATAGAAAGAGATTGGTCAGGTAAATTTTGGCTTGGAAAAAACTAATCTTTGTGTTAATAAATTTATTTTATATATAAAAGTTTTGCCGAGGTGTTTTGGAGTTTTTTTATTTATTTAATTTTAAAAACTAGACTGAAATTTAAGAAGATTTTTTTTAATTGAATCTAATGAGTTTTTAGATTGATTGAAAGGTATTTTAAATTAAAAATGAGTTTAATAAGGTCTTTAAGATATTTTTAAGATGTTTATAAATAAAAATAAATTGAAAAGGTAGATTTCAAGGCTAAAAAAAATCTTGAAACTTGATTTTGGGAAAAAATGATAAGAATTTAAAATAGAAAACAACACATTATTCATTTTATTATATATATAAAAAATAGGGTGAATAATATATTTTACACTCCTTAAAGAAAGAAAAAGAAAAAAAGCAAGCCAAGCAAGCGGATGCCTGTTAGAAAAGGCATGTTGGCCATCCTCCTATGCCTAGGTATCTTTTTTTTTTATTATTTATTTATAGATTACCCATCAATTTTTTTAATTTATTTTAAAAAAAATTGAATAAAATTTACTATAAATAAAATAATATTTAAATTATTATCCTATTTAACTTAGTTTTCAAATAAATCTATATTTTTTAATAGTAATATTAACAATTACTTAGTGAATTGTTAATTGTGTATGAACCTAATATAAAAAGAAATTTAAAAACAATATGCTCATGGATATTTAATAAAAATAAAATAACTATTTCTTTATTTTTATTATAGATTATGTACATAATGTTTTCAAATTAACTATTTTTTTCTCATGAATGTTTATATTTTTTGAATGAAATTTGGTTAAGAATCTATAGGTTTTTATTAAAAAAACAATATTTTGTTATAAAGAAAAACATGTTTTTATCAAAATAAAGAAAGGAAGTTTTAATTAAAGTGATACAAAATAAAAAGAACCCCACGAACATTTATTTTGATTACCTTTAACTTTTATTTAAAAAACAATACTACTAATAATAAAAAATATGTTTTCGTACAAAAAAAGAAAAAAAAACACACGCACAAAAAATTGCATCTCGCGTGGGAGAAAAAAACCAGTTAGTGACTACATAAAAACATGTTTTGGCAGTTCAAGGAAACGTTTGTCAGGCTCATAGACGAGTGGTAACATAATTTTGGACGATGAAGCTTCCATGAACAAAGCTGTCTTAAAAATAATCAAGTCCTTTGAAATAATTCTATAAGAGTCTCTGCTCTTGATCCCTCTTCATCGCCCAAATCATCACCCTCTTCATCGATAATCGGTGGAGGCTGCAATGCAGTATCATTCAAGTACTCTTCTATCCTCAGTGAAAGTTGGTGATGATCCTGGTGTGGATCTGAGGTCTCAGCATCTTCTTCTGCCTCTTCTTGTTCATGAGGTGGGGCTACAGTTACCTCATTCAAAGAACCTAGGGAAGAGGACCGCGATAGAGTCCCGGATGCCACTGTGATTTCATCCTGCTCGTCGATCGTTGTGTCTAGTGAACACACTGATCTTGTAGCAACTGAGAGTGCTGCCGAGTCGCGTTTAGACCTCTCCTTCACCCTCTTGCACCAGCTGTGCAGAGAATCTCTAACACTCTCAGCAACCAATGCCTTCTTAAACCGTGATCCCATCTGAATGGTGAAAAGGTTCAATGAACCCTCTTCTGAATGGAATGTGAAAAGATTTCTTGACATATCCAACATTGAAAAGAAATTGCACAAACCTGTGTAATAATGACATTCAAGGGCACTGTGCTGTAGCTACACCAGAACTGAACTAGAACCCTGCATTTACAAATATAAGATGGTCACTGAAATCCAAAGATTAATAATTGCCAACGGTAGAGATTCTAGAAAGCAATTGGACAATGCCAGCGACCTGTCTTTGCTACTAACACACTCAAAATCAAAATTACAAAAACTTTTTCTTTGTTGTTGGATTTTCAGGAAAAAAAAAGTGCTAATTAATCAGGTTAGATGCACATGAACATTGGTTGGATGCTTGTGGCATCACCATGTGCAGAAAACAAAAGTTTCAACATGAGAGTTAGAAAGAAAAAAGAAAGACATCAAATGAGAAACTTTAAAATCAGCCTGTGATTGCTCACCCCCCTGTGAGAGGGAGAAGGTACATCATGGAACTGTTCTCTCTCCAAAAGACTATATCTTGTCTGCAGCTCAGAATCAATAGAAACTGCAACAAGAAGATTTTCTGAAGCCACTGTGGCCTAAGTTGCCGAATTGCTTGAAGAAGCATGTTAGACAGACAACACTAAGGATTGACTTCATTGCTGTCATAGCTATTGGGCAGTGAGCAACAGGGATTTTCGCTGGCCTTGCATGCATGATAACCTCTGGTGTATGGAAGGAAACTTTGATGACCAAAGCCTAAGTTTCTAGATTTTCTAATGTGTATCTAGATTTTCTAATGTGTAACTGATAAGGGATTTCATCTTATGTAACTGACTGGATACAATTTCGCACCAGATAGCATACATTTTTTTTCCTGATATTATTGAAAAGTTAATATGAGATTATCTTACATGTGCACAGCTGAAAACCGGTTCCTAAGGCCAAATTAATATTCTGAATAAACATCTTGAAGAAACAAGGAGATAGATTGTTACTGAATCTGTGGTGTCTTTATGTTTGTGGAGGACTAATACAAGGAGATCAAATAACCAGATCATTATATAACTTAGCAAAGAAAGAAGCCTTATGCATTGGCAATACTAGTGGAAGAACTCGAAGAAAATCTGCAAGGGTGGTTCAAAATTAGGAAGGGAACATACCCAGAAGCTAATCGAGCAATTATCATGAGATGGTTTTTCATGAAGCACGATCTTTTCTTGAATCCCCACTAAACACAGAAAAATTAGAAAACTCATGATTAAGAATAGATAATACAAGAGTTCATTCTCCTCGAAGAAGGAAAAAAGGACCTATCAGCTTTTGCTTTTCAAAGCCTGAAGCTATTTAATAAATGGACAGTTAGAGACATTTGAGATGTAACAAGAAACAAGCACCGCTAACCCATCTATGTTGTCAACTTATCCACTAGTTCCTTTTCAGAAGTTGCATAAGCTATACCATGTTTCAAGAACCGGTTTCTCTCTAACATCTGAAGCCTTAGTTACAATGCGAACCATCCCGATTCTCATGAACATATAGACAATTTTTCTAACCCCTATACACTAGAAATACAGAAGCCCACAGAAAGAGAAAAAGGGCTTAAACCTACCAAGGACCAGATAAAGGTTGCCATCTCAAAAGCATTCTGCATGCAGGGCAAGAAAACAAATGAGAAGAACTGTATGAAACACAGAGAGATCAATATATCTGACACAGGATATAAATCGATATTATCACCTGAAATATGATAAATTGTATCAACCTCAACGATATGTCTGGTTTACCAAACCAAAAAAGACCATCTCGAGGCTTTACTTGATTCCCAATGGATGGACCTGTTTGTTCCCCTATCTCAAGTGCTAACGTTGAAACAACATGCTGAAGTTTTGTTCCAACCAACATCACAAGCTTTGATGTGTGAAACATATATGTTAGAAAAACATCATGCAGCAACCGTTGCTATTTAGATAAAGTGACAGAAAGAATATGTATACTTACAATAGCAGGAATGAAGGAAAGCCAAAAGTAAATATTTAAACCTGGATCATTTAAAGAATTTAACCTTTCAGAAAGAAAATGGTAGAATCTAACATATACCAAAGAGATATCCTTTTTACATGCTGGAAAAAGAAACGACAAGTTACCATGGATATTGATGAAGATACAAATTATTGCATATCCCCAAAGTGGCCAGCTACAAAATTTAGGAAAATGATTCAGTTCAATTTATTATACTGCTTCTTCACTTCAGGGAAATTTTACATTTACATCCTTCAATTTAACAAAGTTCATTTCCTTGAAATATTTGCATTCATTAAGCCTCATCTTCTAACTCCAAAACATGGTAAATTACAGGTATTTAAACTTCAAAGGTTGTAATGGTTACTGGTTCTATAATAATTATATCACAGAATGAGGATTTCATTTCTGGTGTCCATCTGATGTAAAAGCATGAAATCTCATAATTACGTACATGTTTGCACATGTGCAACTTCAATCATCCAAATGAAATCTATACTTCACCTTCCTCGATGAAATTAGGAACCAGATCCATTTTGAAGTCTTATCCTGCCACTATCAAGATGTTCCAGATAGTAAAATGCATGCATGAATCCTTTATTTTGGCCTACTAAAGAAAGATAAAGGTGGCTGTCCCCATAATTTCTCAATGCCCCATCCCCGTTTTATTAGGCCTGTTTCTTTCTTTTGTATATAAAAATTGACAAGCATTGCGTAGCCCGTAAGAGTTTTTTGGAAACATAGAAATTGTTTCTTATTTTCCACCTGGCTCTTCAACATATAAGGCTGAACCATGTCTGACTGGAATAAAATCTGTAGGGACACTGCAGGTATGTGATCCAAAATGGAAAATCTCGCAAAGAACTAGTAGTTTTTTCGATCAGAGGAAATTGGTGGAAGAATTAAAATTCATTCAAACGAGTACATACCTGATCCCCAAGATTCCATGAAACTCATCTTCCATACTGCGGACCATATATTTATGGAAGTCATAAGAAATTGGCAGTTTGTGCTTCTGCAGAATTGAAAACATGATAACAACATGCAACACGACTTCAGCACAAAGTTAATGAAATGAAAACAACAAAAGGAGGCTAAGTACACGACCAAAGAGCTAATCAACATAATGATTTGATTATTTTCATATCCTAAATGAATTAAGGTCTACCAGTTAGCAATGAAGCATTTTTAAACAAGGCTTAACAAATAGAATAATATGGAACTGCTAGCATGGTAGAGTTTGCATGCACGAAACTAAACTTTATGATTTTCATCTACAAGAAAATTATCCAGTTCAGCTGTAATCTGCTGAGAATCTTCCATATTCTTTGGATGCAATTCTGGATCATGTTTTTCTCATAATATTTTTCCATGAAACAAGAGTATATGTTATTTTCAAATATTAAGTAGTTGGGTGCCAGTAGTCTATCAAACTAGAATCACAATTAAGTCAGCAGTTCCATTTAAAGTGCATGGAGTACATACCAGTAGTCTGTCAAAATAGAATCACAATTAAGTCACTAGCTCGTTTTAAAGTGCATGGAGTACATACGCTGAAGATTCCTTAATGAGGATCAGATGTTACAAAAGAGAAATCACAAGATCAACTTGGAAATGATAAAAGTTAGAATATGTACGGTAACTATGATGGAAAAAGCCAAATAGAGACAACAGATATTCAAGTAATGCATCAAGAAAAAGTAGACACGCACAGTGATGAAACCCAATCGTAATGCCAAGTAATCTGATTTCTTTACAGAGCTCTTAAATTGTCGAAAGAAGCAAAGCTGCACAAGGACACCATTTTCATAAGTAAAACACAATCAGAATCCCTCTCAGATGGGCATGCAATAAAGAAGAGCATAGTGAGAAAAAAATGAAGGAAAAAATAATATAGCAGGAAAGACAATAAGGAAACACTCAAAGTTCAACCCTGTTCTACAAAAGTCAAAATTGATCGTCATCCAAAGTAGGATGGGTGGAAGATACACTGGTCTTCCTGTGCGCTGTTTCTTTGGAAATGGTATGGCCATTAGACATCATATCTTTAGTAAGTGTTATAATACCGATTCTGACAAAAGTCTTGGAATCATTTGATTACCAGACAACCAAAATCATCAGAAGAATATCCAGAGCACTGTTCTCATAAGCTTACACAAAAATGTTGGACAATATTGATTGTGAGTTTTGTGTAGGTAACATTTTCCCACCAGATACTGAATCATAGGACTGCTCAATTGCATAATACAAGTCCTAGATGTGGAGAATGCTTTATTTCCTGGGGAAAAAGTTTTTTGTCAATAAACCTAGCAGTGTAAAGAATAGCAATTGTTTGAGATGTGCTGCTATATTCTGCTGATTATTTTGTGCATTCAGGATGTTAGTACTTGATTGATATTGAGTTGGCTAATTCCTGAAACAACAGTTGCAAGGTTGGAGTCGAAAGTGTTTTGTGTAGATTTCTTGTAATTTTATGTGCCAACTCATTGAGATGAAATAGCATAACCATTGAACAAGAAGATAGAACGCTCAACCAGTCATCCTTTATGTTTCAGTGCATCAATTTGGATAAAAAAAATGCGCACCACAAAACTAGTGCTACACTTTAAATCTCAATTAGAGATGATAAGAAATGATATGTGTGGCAATTTGTTTATATCTCAGAGGATTCATTGCAGTCAAACTTTCACACTTGTCCTTCTAAATCAGCACAACAGTTCCTGTGGGGCATATTGGAGCATGAAACAATCAAGTATAGAGGGAATGAAGTTTTAGTTTACAAATCATCATGGATAGCGGTGGTGTTTTACCATTTGGCATATCCATTTCACAAACTGTCCTTAAGAATAATCGGAGGGACCAAAACAGTATCATCCAACTTGAACAGCAAGACTTTCTTCAACACAATACTGAAGGTTCTGTTTATCTCTCTTTTATATGACTGGTTGACTTGTTAAACCATGAAGTAAAGGCTAGCTCTAAATAATATACGTTACTAGCAAATTCAATCTATTTTCTGTGACTTGAAGTGTCAATATATAGCAATGTCATTTGTGAGAACGATAGTCTGCTTCAACCCTCCGATTCATTTTCTCTAATTCTAATCATCCTTTATCACAAATTCCCAGCTTACAAAACTGATAAACTTTCACTTCAAGGACTTGCATTTGTTTTCCAATGGGACATTCTACATAAGGAATACCCTTTGTGTGATGAGTCAGTGCAGATTCCCAATGAGACACTAAGGATATGTCAAAGGTTTTTCAAACCTATTGCATCCTTATCATGTCCTGATAAACTGAAACCAAAAACAAGGCAAATTCCGTAGTCAATTTAAAGACCTTCAGGGGAATCGTTGCTATCATCGATAGCACAAAGCTGCATGGATTTCTCAGCCTCTTATATTGTCAGGAAGTCAAGAAATGCCACAGCAAGATTGCAGAAACTGAAGGTTTTTCAAACAAAATTCCAACCTACTCAAGGAACCTTAACTTCAAAATAATAGGTTGCCAAGAGTATTGAAAAGGAAGGGAAACCAATGTGTCAACTAAACAATTTTGGTTAGTCCTCCATACATCCTTCAAACACCATTTCCTTGCCAGAAATATATATACAACAATATGTCCATACTAGAGTGCAAGAATGAATCTCACAACAAATATTATGTTAAATTAGTCCACATAACATGTTTTAAAGTAAATGATAGATGCCACCGATATATGCACTAGAAATAATTGCCCAAAACAAGGAAAAACATCACAACTTTACAAAGAGTCATATACATAGAAAGCAAGGAAATTACCATCCAAATGAGAACTCGACTCCTGCTCCATGGATGAGATGTGTGTTGGAAAACAAAGGTGGATTGCCGCCTCATCACCTTGTTTTTCGTTGCTATATAAAATGATAGTGAGAGAAAGATGACACGGTGAGATTTTGGATGCCACATAATAACAACTGGATAAATATATTATCAAAGTGAAATTTTTATTAGACAGGGAGGGGGAGGGGGGGGAGCAATAGTATAAAAACAGTATACAAAAAGTAAAGGTTCTGCAGTAAGAAGTCTACACACACTTCCAGCAGCCATTAGCACATAACACAGACCATTTTGTATAATAGGCAGATTCTTGTGTTCACTGACACACGATTGATATCTTAAAATTGAAAGGAACTTTCATACATTAGACTAACAGAATGTAGCATTCCTACATTAATGTCTATGTTTGGTCCATGATTTCTGCACAATCCAACTCTTGTTATTAAACTCAGTCCTTCTTTTTCAATTCATATAAGAACATACGACCATAATGTGCTACTAACTTAACTATAGATGTGCAATAAGCCATTTTCAAGACAGCTTGCAAGGCTTTCTTCTTTGCCTCTAAATGCAATCACTGGTACCAGAATGTAGACCAATTTGTCCATCTATTCTGAACTGGAGCTCTCTGAAGGTCGTCACCTTAAGTAAATTGGCAAAACTGATTACCATATGTTAATGTTCCTGTGATATAACTAACTATAAGGAGATCAGTTGATCCAGTGAAATGTGGATCGATTTCCCTTCGAATGGAAGATTAGTTGTGCATACTGCTGTATCTCACGGTCTTAAACAAGAATCCATTTCCACAATCAATTAGCCTGATGCCAATATCCTTGTGACATAGGCATAGCCATAAAAAGACTAGATGAGGCTGAGTAGAAAGAAGATGATCAATTAATTTAAATTAGGAATGTGGATGCACATAATGTATCAGATGGCCTCATAACTGAAATCGACTAGTTTTGTATGGTGTCTACTAGAAGAAAACAGGGGAAGCGTGTATCAAATGGCTATCCATCATTAAAGAAGATGATCAATTAAATTTAAATTAGGAATGTGGATGCACATAATGTATCAGATGGCCTCATAACTGAAATCGACTAGTTTTGTATGGTGTCTACTAGAAGAAAACAGGGGAAGCGTGTATCAAATGGCTATCCATCATTAAACAAATGAAAAAGACATGACAGGAGAAGTTTTCATGGTGTGAGATGTCACTAGGAGCCTACATTAAACTAGCTATCCAATTTGCTTACCTTGTAAATTCCCATCAGCCACTAAGTTCGTCTGATTTTCCCATTTCCTCCAACTGTAAATCTAGGAAGACATGCAACAAGAAGAATAATAAGCCCCGGCAGTGTTTAAGGAGGGCCTACAAACTGCATGAAAAGACAACATACAAGCTAAGTCTGCAATCCGTACTAGTTTGATTGTCTGCATGCATGGATTCACCTCCTCTATTCAGTTTTGTTAATTACAGGTTGAATTTTCTCTTGACTGTTGTGATGGTAGGTCTATTACGTCCCCTCTAAATAGATGAATAACATGCAGAGGTCACTTGTTTTCCTATGTTCACTTAACATCTTTGGAAGAAAGAGTCCCAATAAGCCGCTAACATGTTACAGTATGATGCTTTAGGGGAAAAACAAACAGCAGATAATTTAAAGTCCAATTCCTAACAATAATATTTCTTGGAAATGACTTCAAGATACTTCTTGGAGTTGGAGCAACTTGGATTTTTAATTTCTTAACTAAAGAATAAAACTTGGCAGGCATCAAGTATTGGTGATGTTGAGAATCAAAGTATTTACGATATATAGCATACATTAGAAGCTCCATTTTAAACCTAGAGATAAAATAATCAATAAGGTGATAATAGTACCTTGCTCATAGCCAGACCAACTGTCAAGCAACTGTACAGGACATGAGTGATGCCGAGAACAAATAAGAATCGGTGGAGCTGCTCAAGACCCTCTAGGGAGACGAATGGTTCCCGACCCTGAAATCGAGAAAACTATAACTTACCATGGCTTGTTCCCGATCACCACACCTAATAAAACTCAAAAGACAAGAAAAGCAAATTTACCTCACCACATTGATGAGATATTTGAGTAGTTATTCTTTTGGGTGGAATATGGCTCTCATTCAGGAAAGGGGATGGATTTTCAAACAAGACTTTCCGAGTGATGCCATAATCCTCCTCAGAACAAAGATAGAATTTGCTGTTGAAAAGAGATGAATTCACGCAGATCTCAGATATCCACCGCGCACATTGTGCCAGGAGCAGAGATATAAGCCCAAGCAGCATCAGCTCTAACAGGAAGAAAGGGGACAAGTAGCAAAACAAAAGGTGTATCAAAACCAGAAACCGAAAACCAGCACCTCTTCAGTTCTAGCCATGTTTAATCTTCGAACTCTCAAAACACAGCGATGAACAAGGAGAGAAAGGCAAACACGAACAAAACCAGCTAGACAGGACACAACCCACCCACATGGAGACGAAAATGCCTCAAAAGCATATACACATAAAATCAATTAAGGGTATTAACACATGAACCCTGTGTATAGCATACTCTCAATCATTGATCAACAAGCATAATCATGCCTTAATTTCTCTTTTCCTTTTCTTTTCTGAACAAACTTGCAGCTGCTATTAATGAGGTAAATAGTAAACACACACCTTCCTTAATCTTCTCCAGAGAAACAAACAGAGCCTTCCTCCTTGTTTTCTCCAACCACTGTGTACAAAAGCAAAACATAAAAATCAGACAAGCCTTCACAAAATTGGAAAATCCAAAATGAAGATTTCCTCAAACCTTTAATTTCCCACATTTTCTCAGCAACCAAACAGTACATTTAGCAAAACTGTAGTTCTCTTCAACCTTAAGACTCAACTAATCCAAATACTAAGCACTAAAGGCCCCAAAAGGACAAGATTACAAAGTTGCTGCTGTGTTGTGACTGCTGTCTTTAAGCACACTAGCTATAGCTATCTTGTTTGAACAAACCAAAATCCCCCCCCCCAAGAAAAAAAAAAAAAAACAGAACCCTTTACATTACTATAAGAAACCATTTAAAAGGCATATAGAGATAGGAGGAAATGACTTACCTTTCCAAATCTGTAGATGGAGCGTTGAAAGAGAAAGCAAACAAAAACCAAGACTGTAATGACCGTAGCTACAGAATAAGTGGGAGTCTCAACCAGAGATCTCCCTTGCCTTATCAACACATCCTCCTCCCCCATCAGTTTATCTAAACAACCCAAGTTAACTTTACTTCCTTGGAAAAACTAAATGACAGCTTCATCAAGTCGAGGTAGCTAGCAAGAGGAAAGCGGTGATCCAGGAAATGAGGAGCGGTACAGTCTACAGAAATAGACGGACATGCATATGGAATCATAGAAATCTATGTAATCCGGGAAAATCTATATATATATATATATAAAAGGTTTTAATTAGTACTTAGTTTAATATTGATATATTTTTCTGTCCTGTTAGGACAGTTCTCCCTTTCTTTGCATGGGAATCGCTGCATGCGACATAATGCAACCTTCCCACGTGGAGGAAGTCTGCATGCGACATAATGCAACCTTCCCACATGGAGGAAGTGAGCTCTCTCTCTCTCTCTCTCTCTCTCTATATATATATATATGAAAGTTGAGAGTTTTGAAGATCTGACGGTCTCTAACCTATAGTGGAAGACACATGAGCTCCATTAAACCAAATGCTTGGCATGATTGCTCCCTTACCCATGGTTGTCACCAGGAGGCAGCCCGCAAAAGGGTTAGGTGAGTTTAATAATTATATGATTATCAAAACTTATTTTTACTTATCATCACTACTATATTTATATCTTTTAGGCAGAAATTTTCAATTTTGGTATACGGAGATTATCCAATTGTTAAAACTAAATTAAAAGGATAGATGGTATATGATTCATGTGAGAAGGCTGATAATGAATCAAACAATTTTTAATTAGAGTGAGGAAGCTTATAATTTCTCAAAAGAAACTGAAAAAAGTGATTACAACCAGGCGGCAGGCTGGTATAGTTTGGCGCACATGACCAACTAAAAGTTTTGTTGACTTTTTTGAGATCATAAGTTACTCATGATCATCATGATCATGACTTGTTTGAAAGGAGTGATAATTAAAAATAATAATAATAATTAAGATTTGACTGCTTCGTATCATCTTCTTTCCTCTCAAGAAATGGACACCACTAGGGTTACTCGTCCTCAGCAAAACAATATCACACAAAATTATTTCATTTTTTATGTATATTTTCCATCTAATTTGGCCACATCAAGTGCTAGAGTCTCACAATTATTTTCATTACAGTATAATCTTTGTCCTAACACGAGGGGTTGCACGAATCATTATTGCTTGCTCACCAAACTTGCAACTGTTCATCCTATAATGTATATTATTTACCATCAATCTCTTTTTAAATTCATAAAACTTACTATAACAAAAAAGTCAATATCCTTTTCTCAATAAATGAGGGTCATATATATATATATGAGGTTCATTCCTTTTTTCAAGAAATGAGGTTCAATTAATCAATGTTTTATATAACATACATGAAACGAGGGTCGTATATATAAATTTGATGTTTGATTTTCTTGATTTTGCTTTTAATGTTCTTAAATCTAAATTTGGTTTTTTTCATTTTTTGATGTCTTAGCCTCCCTACTGAATTTCGATTAAAGTTATAACTCATACATAATTATTTTTATATTTATTTGGTTATCTTAAAGCTTGTTTTATATTAATCAATCCTTTGAAGTTTTCAAATGCTAGGTTTGGGGTTTTTTTTACTATTATGGTTGTTTTGTCCATATCAGAGCTTGTTGTTGTTGTTTGATGCATGCTTGTATCCTAGTTTTTGATGATGCATCTCTCTAGGCCTTTTGTTTGATGTAATTTGGGCTGAAATTGCACTTTCATTTCAGGATTTCTTCCTGGTGTTCTTCGTGTTCATCAATGAAATTTAAGCACTTTTCGTCTTTTGAACTTTGTTTTTCTTTTATGATTTTGGGCTGTGTTTTTGAGCTAGAAAGCGTAGCTCACATGGATGAGTCGAGTCCATTAACTTTAAAATTGTGTTTGGCCAGTCAAAATTTAACAAGAAAAAAAATGTATTTTTTTATTTTTATGGCCTGTTTAATGAATATATCTTAATAAATTTTTTGGTAATTTTCTTTGTTATTTTTTATCTTGCGACATAAATCCCCAGTGATTTTCAAAACAATTTAAAAAAATTAAGAATTATTTTAAAATTATTTGTGAGTCTTTCACATGTTTCTCAATTATTTCATTTAATATTTGAGTTATATACTTGTGTCATAAGATAGTGACCCAATGTTAATTATACATGTTTTTCTTCAGAAAAAATTTAAAAATCTAAGATTATTTATAAAGGAAATACAAAAATATATTTTTATCTTTATGTATATGACCAAATTCTAAAAGTTTTCATGAATATTTTATAAAAAAATAAATTGTTATCATATTTTGAAAAATACAAAAATCAATTAATGAGTATAAGCTTATGATTATTCATTAGAGTTTTACCAAAATTTCAAAACACATCACCAAAATTAATTTGTTTACTCATTTAGGGCATAAATTTTAAAACGTAGTGTATATTTCAGGTATTAAATTAAATAAATTGACAAAAATAAAATATTAAAGTTAATTGTAGACCTTAATATTTGAGGATATAAAATTATAATGTAAAGTATATCCTTATGTATTAAAGATATAAAATAAAAATAAATAAATTGTTAAATTTTATACCATAGAATGATTAGATTTTAATTTGATAAGATAAAGACCTCCTTACTAAAAGAGATTTCTCTTGATCTTTTTTTATTATTATTTTTTGTATAATTGTTTTCAAAATTATTGTTGTTTCTTTTATTTTTTAATACTAAACTGGTTGAGAATTTATTTTTACACTTTTTTTTCCTTTAAAACACTGTGAATTACTACAATTATTCCTCATTATTTTTTTGCTATGTATTTTTAAAAAATTATCTTTATTAATTTTATTTTTTTTGTATTGAGCTGGTCGAGAATTATAATTATATAGTTTTTTATAAAATATTATAAATTATTATAGTATTTCTCTACATAATATTTTTTCCTTCTTTTTTTTTTAAAAATATTTTTATAGGTTTTTTTTAAAACATTATAAATTATAATAATCTGTCTTTATATAGTTTTTTTATGTTTTTTTTTTGTAAGTTTACAATAACATACAAGGAGGCTGCAAGTCCACCGCAAGAACACACATGCATGACATCTAGAATTTTCTCAATGTTGGTCTTCACATGCATTACGGAAGCTTATAGTATAGTATATTTTGTGGTTGTTTTTTAGAATATTTTTTATTTATAAATATATTAAAATAATTTAAAAATAAAAAAAATAACCTGAAAAAAAGAAAAAAATTTACATTTTTTAAAAATAATTTTAAAATATAAAAACAAATAGACTCTCAATATATATTTAATATTATGATAGTTTTTGAGGTTATAATTTAAAAAAGGTAATAAATTGTAGTTTTTTTTATCCAAAATTTTAGAAAGGAGTTTTTAATAAAATTTATATAAAACTATAATATATATTGACCACAGCACACCGTACAACAAAAACAAATGAAGCTTTAATTTCCTTTTAACTGCTCTAAAATTTCGGACCCGCATGGAGGAAAAAGACAGAGGTCTTGACACCGGAATGATTTCTGTTACCAGAAGCTGAGATTACTAGTGAAATAAATTTTTTACTAAAAATATTAAAGTCCGTGTACTAGATTGAGAAAAAGTGAAAGTTTATGTACTAGATTGAAAGTTTATGTAATAATTTTTTTACTAAAAATATTAAAGTCTATGTACTAGATTGAAAGTTTATGTAAAATCAATGTACCATAAGGTAAGAGCCCTTGATTAGAGAGGGAGGGTCTAGAGCCTTTCAATTCAGTCTAAACCCCCTCCAAAACCCTAGCATAGCTATGGCGCAACGACTGCTCCGCCTCCGTCGAGCTCTAACCCCACTCTCTTCTACTCGGCAACGCCCTCCTCTCTCCACTCCTATCGCAATAGCACCACCAGCCGCACAGACGCCCCCAATCATTTCTCAATGGCGGGGATTCTCGGGAACGAGAGTGTCAATGGTGTCGACGACTGGTTTGGCAGAGAAAGAGTACAAGGTATACGAGGATGGAGAAGAAATCGTTAAGAGCACAATTCTGTTCGAAGGCAACGAATACATTCACTGGCTGGTGACTGTTGATTTCCCAAAAGAACCCAAACCCTCTCCTGAAGAAATGGTCGCTGCTTTTGAACGCATCTGTGCCCAGGGACTCAACATCAGGTTTCTTTCTTTCTTTCTTTTTTTGTTTTTTGTTATGATTTATTAGTTTAATTTTAATGGCGTGATGTTTTTTCAGTATTGAGGAGGCGAAGAAGAGAATGTATGCTTGTAGCACAACTATTTATCAAGGGTTTCAGGTTTCAATTACGCACCAAGAGGCCGAAAAGTTTAAAGGCAGGTGTTAGCTTTTGACAGTGGGACAAACGAGACCCTTTGAAAGTAAACAAATTCACTTCAAAACTTACTATAGGAGAGCCATCTCCATCCCTTCAATCAAACGCATTTACATCACTTTCGTATCTGCCCCTTCTGTCAAGCGCAACCATACATCTGTGTTTCTTGCATTCTGAATTTCCACCTGTTTTTGTGGATTGTTATTGCTGTTGTTGTCCTGAATGCTTGCTTTCTGACTTGTCATATGTGATGATGCTTTAAACAGGTGTTCCGGGGGCTGTTTTTGTATCACCAGATTCGCGAGTAAAAAAGGAAAATGGAGGTCATTTTTTTCTCCTTGTGATTGAAATATCTTCATTCAATTTAATTGTTGAAATGCATTCTAGTATATTGTCTGTTATTCTACTCTTTTAAGGTAGTATTAGCCCTTTCATTTGGGTCTCTTGGCTATCACACAATTAGTTAAAAGCAAGTCTGATAGTGGTTAGTTCAATTGGTGAATTAAACTCATTTGATCTACTTTGCAGGAGACAAGTATAAAAATGGATTAATCACTCTCAGACCACCCCCAGTTCAATTTCAGAGAGGGGGAGAAAGGAGCCGTGATCCAGGCAGAATTCCACCTAGATTTGACCGGCCAGAAAGTCCAATTCCAAATCATCAAGGGCCGCAACCCCAGTATAGTCAGCGAGGGCATATGCAAGGAGGTGGTAGTAGCTATGGGTCTCAACAAAATCGTCCACCACAGAAAAATCATGGTCCTCCAGGGCTAGGAGGAACAGTGCCGATGAACAATAGGGATTATGCCACTGGAGGAAGGAACACATATCCAGGACAGCAAGGAAATCATGATCCCCCAGGACAGCAAGGTTACAACCAAGGACAGCAGGGGAATCATTATGACCCAGACCAAGGGAGCTTTCCACAAGGAGACTGGAGGAGGGATCATGGCTCTCCTGGGCAAAGAGATGACAGGGGAGACAACTGGAATTATTCTCCCACCCATGGTGGAAACTATGGGCAAGGTGGAAATACTAGCTATGGACAGCGTCACCCAGGTGAAGATCAGAGGTCCGCACAAATGGAGCTGAGGGGCATGCAAGGAGAGCAAGGGAACTATGCACCATTGGGACAACCAGGGTGGTCAAACCAAGTAAGGAACTCCTCCCATTAAGTGATTAACTGGGACCCTTTTTGTCATTTTTTAGATTATCAATAGGTGGTTTCATAGTGCAGGTGAGGACGGAGAATGGTTTACTGACCTTACATGCACGCATGACTTGTAGATTTGTTTATGGGAAGATAGATTAAAATGTCATCATGTGGAGCTAGGTTAGCCAATGACTGGTTACAAGTTAGATAACAGGGAAGTTTTATCATCAATAGTCTTGTGATTACTATTCTTCAATTACCAATAGTCTTCTGGGAAACTGTGCATGCTTGAAAGTGAAGTACACTACTGAAATGTGAGGAGAAGTTGAACACAATCAGTTTATGTGAAATTAACAACTTTAAGAAAGAGTTCATTCCTTTTTTCCCTTCACCATATCATCTTATTTCTCTTGTTTTTATTTGGTTGTGCAACTCCAGTACAGTCAACAAGGGCACATGCAAGGAGGTGGCAGTTGCTACGGGTCTCCACAAAATGGTCCATCACAGCAAGATCACGGTCCTCCAGTGCTAGGAGGAAGGATGCCAATGAACAATAGGGATTATGCCCCTGGAGGAAGGAACATGTATCCAGGGCAGCAAGGTTACTTCCAAGATCAGCAGGGAAATCGTTATTCCCCAGGTCAGCAAGGTTACAACCAAGGACAGCATGGAAATCGTTATCCCCCAGGTCAGCAAGGTTACAACCAAGAACAGCATGGAAATCGTTACCCCCCAGGTCAGCAAGGTTACAACCCAGGACAGCATGGAAATCGTTACCCCCCAGGAAAGCAAGGTTACAACCCAGGACAGCATGGAAATCGTTATCCCCCAGGTCAGCAAGGTTACAACCAAGGACAGCATGGAAATCGTTATCCCCCAGGTCAGCAAGGTTACAACCAAGGACAGCAGGGAAATCATTACACGCCAGGACATCAAGGTTACTTCCAAGAACAGCAGGGAAATCATTACCCCACAGGACAGCAAGCGTACTTCCAAGAACAACAGGGAAATTATTACCCCCTAGGACAGCAAGGTTACTTCCAAGAACAGCAGGGAAATCGATACCCCCCAGGACAGCAAGGTTACAACCAAGGACTGCAGGGAAGTGATTACCCCCCAGGACAGCAGGGGAATCATTATGACCCAGACCAAAGGAGCTTTCCTCAAGGAGATTGGAGGAGGGATCATGGATCTCCTGGGCAAAGAGATGATAGGGGAGACAACTGGAATTATTCTCCCACCCATGGTGGAAACTATGGGCAAGTTGGAAATACTAGCTATGGACAGCGTCACCCAGGTGAAGGTCAGAGGTCCGCACAAATGGAGCAGAGGAGCATGCAAGCAGAGCAAGGGAACTCTGCACCATTGGGACAACCAGGGTGGTCAAACCAAGTAAGGCACTCCCTCCATTAAGTGATTAACTGGAACCTTATTTTTCTCAATTTTTAGATTATCCATAGGTGGTTTCATAATGCAGGTGAGGACAAAGAATGGTTTACTGACCTTATATGCATGCATGACTTGTAGATTTGTTTATGGGAAGATAGATTAAAATGTCATCTTGTGTAGCTAGGTTAGCCCTTGACTGCTTACTAGTTACATTACTGGAAAGTTTTATCATCAAGAGTTTAGTGGTTACTATTCTTCAATTACCAATAGTCTCCTGGGAAACTGTGCATGCTTGAAAGTGAAGTACACTACTGAAATGTGAGGAGAAGTTGAACACAATCAGTTTTTGTGAAAATGAACAATTTTAAGAAGTATTTGTTTTTGAATTAAAACTTATCCTAAGAATGTTTGAAAAAAAATATAAATTTTGAGAAATTTCAAATCTTTTAATTCCTCGAGCATTTGAAAAGTTTAATACTTCAAAATAATAATTATTTTTTACATGTAAAACTCATAAAATAAATATATAAATAAGCTAGCCATTTATTGAGGAAAAAATAAAAATCTAATAATATTATATAAAATGATTTATTTTGTAAAATAGATTTTTTTATTACTTCATTTTTTTAGGTATCCATTTATTTTGAAATCTAGGGAGTATTTTCTTGTTTCCTTTTAGAAACATGGGATACAAATCATATATTGGATATACTAAATTTAGAGTAATATATTTCTTCAGTAGGCATTTGTTTCTTTTCTTTTTTTCTTTGTTGTTGTATGAGTTTTATCTTGGAATTTATGGGATTTTGGTGTAGCTTTATGGAAGCTTGAATTTTTGCTAATCTTTTACAGACTTGCTTATTATCACTGATTTGTCTGACATCTAAACGTCCACTGTAAATTATATACGAGATTATTAATCTGCATGGATGTTTTGTGGTTTGTACCATGTTTGTTCTTTCAACTGTGATGCCTTTATGTGCATACATGGTGGTATGCTGGGTGGTTGAGTACATATTTTTGTCTTCAAACTGATCATTTTGTTCCTAATCTTTTTTTCCTGACATTTCAGCATGGGAAAGATTCCTGGTGTCAACTTACAGAGACTGCAAGCTCTGCCTAACGCTTTTGATGCACTCAAGTAAGAATACTGAGTTGTATTTTATGAATGTTTGTGATATTGTACGGTCCATCTGCAAAACAGTAAATTTCACAAGCTTTATGATGTTAGCTTCTGATTGATCAACTTTGGATTTAGTTTTGGCAAATATAGGTGCCTTGACAATTTGGTGGTTGCCAAGTTAACAAGACAGAATGGGTATGGAAACTAATGTTCCTTGAAAGACTCAATCTATTGCAATTCAGGATACAAAGGAACTTTTTTTTTTTTTGCATGGTGAATTGGATATATCGATTTTAGGACAATGAAGTTTCATGTTAAGGACAATGATTTTCTTGGGGCACATCTTATTGGAGTAGTGGAGATACCGGTTGAGACAATCATTTCAGGAAAGAGGAAAAGAGCTAGATATATTTTGATACTTAATCATCCCAACCTTGTTGCTAGTATTGAGCTTTTCTAAGTGTCGTGCTGCTATTATTCTTAACATTGCTGCCAACCTTGACCCTAGAAATGGGAATAATGTAAGAGGAAAAGAGCTGAGACAAAAGGTGGAAGATGAATTCTTAGATAACTTTCTGGGGGTTTGGTGCATAACTCCAATGATGAGTAAAGATAGTGAAGGAATTCTCTCCATATCTGTTCAGATATTTTCATAAAGGGTAAGATGCCTAATGTTGACTTTGGAGAATTTAAACACATACCAAAGAAATTATGATCATCATTGTCTCTCTTACAGTTTTTCCGATCTATTGATTCAGGATCTTCACTCTATTGATTCAGGATCTGTGAAGGGATTTCCAAATTCCACTCAAGAAGGCGTGGCTCAAGTTCGAACTAGCTTTATGCAGTACTTGCTAACACTAACCAGTTTGTGCTTCTAGTTTTATGTTTATGTGATATCATTCCAGACCTGCTTCAATAACTCATCTCCTTTTTCTGCAGAATCTTGTATTAGGAATGATTTGAAAGCAGACAAGAGCATTCATACAGCATATGTAAAGGCAATAAGATCAGCTGAACACTTCATATACAAAGAGAATCAATATTTTCCAGGATCTTCCTAGCTATCATTGGCCATCATACAAAATTGCAGGTACAGAAAGCATCAAGTTACTGCGTTTCCTTGCCAAATGTGAAGAAATTTATTGAATGCTGATTACTGATTAAATCGACACTAATAAATCCACAGCGTATCTCATGCAAGACATTAAGGTGTTTTAGTTTTTGTTTTGCTGTTTAGCTAGATATCTGATGAGGAAATTTCTCTTTAACTTCATCTCTGTGAACTGGAGCTGATAACTTATTATTGTAAATACAGCTATATGTTTTCGCATAGTTCTGTGAACTTTTATAGATTATATTATTTTGCAATGCTCTCATAATGTCGAGGATAGTCTGGTTATTTGTAAATAATTTCTTTTATCATATTAATATCTTATATAATGATTTTATCAAAACATTATACTAATTGATATAATTATTTTTATTTTTATTATTCTTGTTGAATTTAAATTAAGATATTAAAAAAAATCAGATAATGTATATTGACTCAAATTTATAAATTCATATACCGAAATATTAATAATCTAGATTATTTCCTTACAAGCTCAAAACATATTTTACATTACACTTATTTGATCAAAACATGCTCATTTATCAATTGAAAAAAATTAAGAAAAAAATATTATGACAGGAAAAAATAATAATAATGGACATGCGCATGTAATATACCCTACATTCTTGATGCGTACTTAATAAATAAATAAAATTTAAAGTTATATTATATGATTTCATCATTTAATTGAGAAATATTAAGGGTGTAAGTGAAGCATAACTCGATTATTGTATTATCATAAACTTTTAAATGATACAAGGAGCTTTGATAAGAATTGATCTTGCATGGACAATTTTCTTCTTCTTTTTTTAGTTTCACTTCTTAACCAAAAAATAATATCAATATATCTTTTAAATTAAAGCTTATAATAGGAGTTCGTAATTGATTTAAACAAAAACAATAAAAAAATATATTGTAAGAAATCTTGATCTAAATTTTTTAGTTATTTTCTCTCCTCAAAGATTTATTACTTACTGTTTTATTTATTTTTATTTTTATACTAACACAACATAAGTGGTCCATGTTATCTTATAACTTTTATGTTTGGCATGATATAATTAGTAAATCATAGATCATTTGCATATGTGAACTGTCTACGTGTCAAAATAAGAACTTTCACCATTGCATTTATTGTGAATTGCTATCGTTTTCATGTTATTACATATAAATAAGGAAATTAAAGTCTAAACAATTTATTAGATATTAAAAAATATTATGAATTTGTTAAATAATGAAAATGCGAAACAAATCTCAAAAAGCTAGTTACGGGAGAGGAAAAAAAAAAACTAAGTTTAACTCCTAATGTTTTTACTCTTTATAAATGATAAAATTATCCATTCTGATGGGTATTCACCATAACCTAACCCAATGAAAATGGATTTCGGAAACATTTTCCTCCATATTTTTTAAGGATGACAATGGTATTTATCTGGTTAGCTTATTATTTATTAGATAAAAAATTTAAATATTCATACTATATTTATCATGTTTTAGATATTTATATAAATATTCATTGTGTGGATATTATTTATTGTTTACAACAAAAATAACACACATGCAATCCAAATACACACATTTTAAAATAAAAATAAAAGGGATTGGGGTTTTAATGTAGACATAAATTTATCACATTGTGAATTTAAACAGTGTAACTAAGAGAAAATCATTGAATTAGCTATTAAAGATACTGTGGTCTTTTTTACAAGATTAGTTAATTATTATTAAGTTGATTAAGGAAAAATTAACTTTTTAACATTTTTAAATCATAATACAATAATTAAATTACCCTTAACAACAACAAAAATTCTCTTATAGTTTTTTTTAGTTATAATCAAGTTGATCAATGAATAATTTGTTATTTTAATAAATATAAAATATAATTGAAAAACTAAAAGCAGTTGATGCATGCGATATATATGGCGGCGTGTGGAGAGCTTTGTCGCCTTTAGACAGTAAATAAGGTGTTGTATGATGATAAAATTTTATATAAAAAATAAATGATGAGAGACATAACTAAAGAAAAAAATCAATCAAAATAAAAAAAATAATCAAAGTAATGATGATAAAATTAAACATAAAAAAATAACAAGACATTTTATATTTTGATAGGCTAGCATGAAACCTAAAAAAAAACAAAGAGAAAAATAAAAAAAAACAAGTCATTGCATTGTGCTTTTAAAAATGTTAAAAAATTAATTTGTTTTTTATCAATTTAATAATAACTAATAAACCTCATAAAATACTTACCAAAAAAAACCTCGTTAAAAGATTATATTACTTTTGTTAGATAGTTCAATGATTTTCTCATTAAAAAAAATAATCATTATATCATTCTAATTCACAATGTGACAAATACTTGTCTATAATAAAATGTTAGTTTTTTTATTTTATGTTTAAAATTTTTAATATATATTTAGATTATTTTTGTTGTTCAATTATAATAATATTTTTATAATTAATATTCATATGGATATTCAAAGCATACAAATAAATAAGATATGAAGATCTAAATTTTTTTTTTACCCAATAAATAATGATTTAGATATAAATTAAAAAAAAAAGCAGCTTCCGTAATGCATGTGAAGAAGAACATTTGCGACAATATAATGAATCCGGAGAGGCATGAAGCACAAGGAACGAGTTATAGCGTCAACGGCAACGTTTTGGAAAATATAATTACTACCTAAATATTTATTATGGCTCCATGAAAAAAGAATCCTATGAAGTTTCGGAGAATGTGAAGTTTTCTAATATCTTTTTCGCGGAAGTTATTACTTATTAGTACTTAAAAGCTATGATTTATCGTATTTTAAGGCAACATCTCCTTATTGTATTAAAAGGCCCTTTACGTTACAATAATATAAAATACAAACGTTTCGAAACGCGTGTCCAGAGCCTCTCATAAACCCCCTCCAAAATCCTAGCATAGCCATGGCGCAACGACTCCTCCGCCTCCGTCGAATCCTAACCCCTCTCTCTTCAACTCGGCAACGGTGCCCCTCTCTCCTCGCTCCTATGGCAATCGCACCACCAGCGGCACAGACGCCCCCAATCATTTCTCAGTGGCGGGGATTCGCGGGAACGGGAGTGTCGATGACGTCGACGGCCGCAATAGCAGAGAAACAGTACTGGGTATACGAGAATCTAGGCGAAATCACTGAGAACAAAACCCTGTTCGAAGGCTGCGCTTACAATTACTGGCTGGTGACTGTTGATTTCCCCAAAGAAGAACCCAAACCCTCGCCTCGAGAAATGATCGCTGCTTATGAACGCATCTGTGCCCAGGGACTCAACAGCAGGTTTCATTTTTTATTTTTTATTATAATTTTTTAGTTTAATTTTAATGGCGTAATGTGTTTTCAGTATTGAGGAGGCGAAGAAGAGAATATATGCTTGTAGCACAAGTACTTTTCAAGGGTTTCAGGTTTTGATGACGGAACAAGAGTCCCAAAAGTTTAGAGGTAGTGTTAGCTTTTAGTCACCGTCTCTAGACAGAAGAGACAATGGGACAATGGAGACCTTTTTTCTTTCTATTTTGGAAGTATACAATTTCACTCCAAAACTAGCTATAGAAGAGCTGTCTCCGTCCCCATCAATCAAACACATTAAAATCACTTTTATATCTGCCCCTTCTATCAAACGCAACCACGTATGATGATGGTTTCTTGCATGCTGAATTTCCATCTGTTTTTGTGCATTGTTATTGTTGTTGTCCTGAATGCTTGCTGACTGACTTTCTCTAAACAGACGTTCCGAGGGTTGTTTTTGTATTACCAGATTCTCCCGGAAACAAGGAATATGAAGGTCATTTTTGTCTCCTTGTGATTGAAATTTCTTCATTCAATTTCATTGTTGAAATGCGTTGTAGTATATGGTCTATTATTCTACTCGTTTAAGGTAGTGTTACGGCTGTTGCACAATTAGTTAAAAGCAAGTCTGATAGTGGTTCATTCAACTGGTGAATTAAATTCATTTGATGTACTTTGCAGGAGACGAGTATGAACACAGAATGATCACTCCGGGACCAACCACAGTTCAATTTCAGAGAGGGGCAGAAAGATGCGGTGACCAGGGTCCACCTAGATTTGACCAGCGAGATAGTCCAATTCCAAATAATCAAGGGCTGCAACCCCAGAATAGTCAGCAAGGACGAATGCCAGGAGGTGGTGGTAACTACGGGTCTCAACAAAATGGTCCGCCACAGCAAAATCATGGTCCTCCAGGGCTAGGAGGAAGGATGCCGATGAACAATAGGGATTATGCCCCTGGAGGAAGGAACATGTATCCAGGACAAGAAGGAAATCATGATCCCCCAAGACAGCAAGGTTACAACCATGGACAGCAGCGAAATCATTACCCCCCAGGAGGTGGTGGGAATCATGATCCCCCAGGACAGCAAGGATACAACCATGGACAGCAGCGAAATCATTACCCCCAAGGACAAGGTTACAACCAAGGACAGCAGGGAAATCATTATGCCCCGGACCAAAGGAGCTTTCCACGAGGAGATTGGAGGGATCATGGACCTCCTGGGCAAAGAGATTTTAAGGGAGACAACTGGAATTATTCTCCCACCCATGGTGGAAGCTATGGGCAAGGTGGAATTCCACCAAGATTTGACCAGCGAGAAAGTCCAATTCCAACTTATCACGGGCTGCAACCCCAGTATAGTCAGCAAGGGTGTATGCAAGAAGGTGGTAGTAACTACGGATCTCAACAAAATGGTCCACCACAGCAAAATCATGGACCTCCAGGTCTAGGAGGAAGGATGCTGATGAACAATAGGGATTATGCCCCTGGAGGAAGGAACATGTATCCAGGACAGCAAGGAAATCATGATCCCCCAGGACAGCGAGGTCACAACGAAGGAGAGCAAGGAGGTGGTAGTAACTACAGGTCTCAACAAAATGGTCTGCCACAGCAAAATCACGGTCCTCCAAGGCGAGGAAGGATGCCGATGAACAATAGGGATTATGCCCCTGGGGAAAGGAACACATATCCAGTACAGCACGGAAATCGTGATCCCCCAGGACAGCAAGGCTACAACCAAGGAGAGCAGAGAAGTCATTACCCCCCAGGACAGCAAGGGTACAACCCAGAACGGCAGGGAATTGATTACTCCCCAGGACAGCAAGGTTACTTCCAAAGACAGCAGGGAAATCATTATCCCCCAGGACAAGGTTATAGCCAAGGACGGCAGGGAAATCATTACCCCCCAGGACAGCAAGGTTACTTCCAAAGACAGCAGGGAATTCATTATGACCCAGACCAAAGGAGCTTTACACAAGGAGATTGGAGGGATCATGAATCTCCTGGGCAAAGAGACTACAGGAGAGACAACTGGAATTATTCTCCCACCCATGGTGGAAACTATGGGCAAGGTGGAAATAGTAGCTATGGACAACGTAACCCAGGTGAAGGTCAGATGTCTGCACAAATGGAGCAGATGGGCATGCAAGGAGAGCAAGGGAACTATGCACCATTGGGACCACCAGGGTGGTCAAACCAGGGCACACCCCCCATTAAGTGATTAAACGGAACCTCTCTCTCTCTCAGTTTTTAGATTATCCATAGGTGGTTTCATAGTGCAGGTGAGGACGAAGAATGGTTTGCTGACCTTGCATGCATGCATGCATGACTTGATTTTTTTTATCGGAAGATAGATTTAAATGTCATCTTGTGTAGCTAGGTAGCCCCTGACTGCGTACAAGTTAGATTACTGTAAAGTTTATCATCAAGAGTTTAGCGGTTACTACTCTTCAATTACCAATAGATCTCCTGGGAAACTCTGCGTGCTCGAAAGTGAAGTACACTGATGAAATGTGAGGAGAAGAAGCTGAACACCATCAGTTTTTTGTGCAAGTGTACAACTTTAAGAAAGAGTTGATTCCTTTTTGCCCTGCACCATGTCATCTTATTTCTCTCGTCTTTATTGGGCTGTGCAGGGAAGATAGCGAGAAGACTGATGGTTCTCTGAGGTGGAAGTAAGAATGGACATGTAATTCACTTTCATCTTTCAATTTTCGTTCTCACGAGACACATGAAATGAATTGTCGATGACTGGTTTGGTGAACAGGCTTGCCTTCATGAGACTAGGAAAGTAGGAAAGCGGTATTTTTCCCATCTATTTAACTGCTTGAGCTTTTTAGTGAGGTTGCTTGGTCATGGCATATCCTCTACCACAAGCGTGCAATCTGTCATCTGTGTTTCAACTTTTTCCTGCCTTTTAATAGAAGTTACTACGTAGGGGTATATGTTGTGGAAAGGATTCCTAGCTAATTTATATCAAAAGACGAAAAGGCTTCAGCATTATGGATCTGTTTTCCAACAAATATAAGAATGGATAAATCATATAATGATGAGATGTGAACGCTATTTAAAAAGGAAAGCGAGGAATTGATATTCATTGTAAAGAACAAAAGCGACGAGTAATTTTTTAATTTTTTTTTTGTATGGTAGTAAAAATTGATATTTGAAAGAAAGGTGATTCAGAATAAAAACATTATTTTTTTCAAAATTCTCATTTTTTATTAATGTTTTTTTTCTTCAAAAAATATCACTTTTATTAGCAAGCAAAATGGTTCCTTCAATGTAGATAATTAATATAGAATTAGAGATTATTTTTTAAAAAATGTATATATCTCTAATGAGAAGTTCATTTTATTCCTATGTTTTTCTTATAAAAAAAATTTAAGAGGCCTTGTTTTTTTTAATGCAGTCCAACATTATACACCCGAGTTTATCACTTTTTAACAGATAAAATCACTTTTTAACAAATAACAAATTTTATTAAATAAATATGAGAGGTAGCTTTTATATCTTTTCAGGATTGAAAATGTATATTTATACTTTATATTCACAAGAAAAAAAAATATTTTTAATATAAAATAAGAAACTTTTTAATTTAAATATTTTAATTTAAAAGAAGAATATAGTATTTTTTTTAATACAGAATAAAAAAATTTAAAATAATTTTTAAAATTTTATTATTTATAATATGTATAATATATATCTACAAGAATTGTTTCTTGATTTTCTTATGTGTAATATTAAAATTTTAAATGTTATTTTTTAAAAATTTTCCGGGTTGACTTACAATCCAACCCTTTAACCGGGTTTGATAACTATACTTGCAACATTAGAAAAGTTTTAATATTTTTTCAAAAATTTATTTATTTGTTTTTTTATAAAAAAAATTCATTAATCAAATATTAATGTAATTTCTTTAAAAATAATTTAAGAAAGTATTGATCTTTTTTCATTCCTATAAGATTTTATTTAAAAAAAAATATGTTTTTTCCTTAACCATTTTCAAAATTTTAATTTTCATTATCTTATATTTTAATGTAATTTAGTCTAATCGGGTCAAATAGAATAAATTTGGAAAACATAAGGTGGCCAAATCTTTTTCTCAAATCCCCATTTTCCTGGATAATACAAATAGAAAGTTAATTTTAAGGGTTTTTTTTCCTTCTAAAATGAATAGAACGGTTCTATAAAATTTGAGATAGGGATCACCACTTTATTTTACTTGAAAAAGGAAAAGTACAAAAAATATTTTACTAAAAAAAATCATCAACATATGAAAATGATAAAAAAAAATGATAATTTTTTTTTTAAAGAGCATGAGTGTAAACGCCAAATTAAAATTTTCTAAGTTTGTAAATATAAAAAATCCTAATTTGAAAATAAAATGAATAAATTTAAACTGAAAGATTTTCTTATTGATAATAAAATAGATAAAAACAATTGCCTTAAATGAAAAATTAGTTGAGTTGACGAGATGAAATTCTCAGTGAAACAAAAAGCATCTAATTATTAAAAAGAGATGCACTATTTTTCATAAGAGGTCGAAAAGGTGGGTATATAAGTACCATTGAACTCCTTCGAAAGCTAATAGAGGCCGACTGTGTAAAGGAGAGAGGAATTGTTTTTTTAATTTCTTCAATATTCTACCCAAATCCACATCTCACTAGAAGAATAAAAGGGGTAAGAAGGGATTAGAAAGATATTAGGCTAGAAAAAATGATGAAAATCTAGATGATTTTGACATGAAAAGAGGTGGGTTCGAGAGGAAAATTTAGGAGAGAAGTAAAACTTGTTATCACTTTCTTTTCTTTAAATTATTGTGTTTAAGAGATGAGAATTTTCAATTTAAACTTTAATTATATGTCTATTATGCGCAACAGCGGAGGATTCAAGGAGACCAAGACGAGCTATAACCTAGGTAAAAAAAGAGATTATAAAACTTTCAATACCCCTGTCAACTTTGATTTTTAGTAATTAGTTATGAGGTAATTACATAAACTTTTCAATAATCCAAAACTCAAAAACAAAAAAAAACTCTCTTTATTCTTTATTAAAAACCACAAAAATTTTAAATATAAATAACTAATTGGCTATGAAATAATCAGATTTGTATAACTTTATAAGTTGAGGTTTTAATTACCGCAAAACACGAGAATAGTAAAGAGGTTAATCAAATCGGTAATTTATATCAAAATGAAACTACTCGATATAACTCTTATTTTGATTCTATTTATAGTTAAATAGATATATTATATGGTGTAATTATTATTATGCTTGAAAGTACAGTTCAAGAAGGATCTTCTAACTTCATATATAGAGAAGTTGGTGTTTGTTTGATTGTGATAAAATCTTTTAAATTTATATTTATCCATAAAACAATGAGGATTATTGATTTACTTTGTTGAGTTTTGCAATAAAAATCTCTTAACATCTTAAATAGAATGGATCTTTTATTAACTGTTAAAACATTACTTCAAACTTTGAAAGATGTAAGATTTGATCTTCTCTTTGCACATAATATGAGATTAGCATAATATATGAATACTTGGTATAAAAAAACTATAGATTGTTCATGTCAGCAACAAGGATCAGTGACAGTTTACCAACATTATCATTATGATATATTTAATTCAATAATAAATTTTATTATGAAGATTTCAATGAATAAGAGATATATAATTTGAGATCTCAGTTAGAGCATTATCAAATTAATATGATTCATCATAAGAGTTTTTAAAATATATTTGTTATTTTTGAATTATGTTGAGAATTAGTTGAAACTAATAAGTCGCAATACTATTATTTGATTGATAAGTTGATTCGTCTTGTTTTGACTTTGCTTGTTTCCACTACCACTACAGAGCGAATATTTTCAGCTATAAAATATATTAAAATTATGTTTTGCAATAAAATTAAAAAGAAATTCTTATCATATTTTATGATGATTTACATTAAACGAGAACTTGCTAAAGATATTAATTTGAATTCGATTATAAATAAATTATATTTCACAAAACATTAAAGTGATATAACTTTGATAGTGTGATTTTTTCAAATTTTATTTTTTAAAATTTTATGTTATGCATTTGGATTAAAATTTTATTGTTAGCTTGATAAATTTATATATATAAGTTAATAATTAATCTTAAAAAATAATTTATATATATTTACTTTATAGCTCAGGATAAAAAACATTCCTAACTCAGCCATTACAGCTAGGTAACCTCGAGGACGCTGTCGGCGAGCCTCAGCAACTTGAGTGCATGAAACGAGGGAGTAAGATTTCCAGACACAACTGGAAAGCATATGTTTCCGAGGAGGGTAAAGAAATGAGAGGACACTTGCTACAATATCCAATTCAAGGGAGCAGAAGTGGAAAAGGGAGTGCATTGCCAGGGCATGAAACATTTCCTGATGTTGGTGGCAAAGTTCTTGGATCACCCACCACCCTTCCTGATGTTCTAACAGCGTAAATTCAGCTAAAGCTTTCACGCTATGGAGTTCACCATGTATAATTTCATCTGAGCTGCTTCCTGTTGCCCAAAATAGTGGGAATCCTGTAGGCACAACGTTGTTGAAACATCGAGCATGTACAAAGAAGGTTGTGACTTACTCAAACACACAGAGCTAGTTGTAGGTCTGATGATGTTGCATGGCATTGTTGCAGGAGGTTTACAAGGATTTGGTACCATTATTTATTAAATTAAAATGCTTTGTGTGTATTAATTATGTGGTTTATAGGAATATTAATTTTTCATATTAAAATGTTTTTTAATTAAAAATATATTAAAATTATTATTATTATTATTATTATTATTATTATTATTATTATTAACATATGAAGACCATCTAAAAACGCATCAATTTAATATATTTTTAAAGTAAAAAATAATTTTAAAAATAAATTATGACATGAAAACATATACTCACATATCATTTACATGTATTTTTTAATTAATTACAAGTACAAAGATTTCCCAAACAATTAAAATGAAAAAGGTTTTATTCTAATTAAAATGAAAATAATTTTTTATTTTCTGTTCGTCAAAAAATCCAAATGAAGAATAATTTAACTATTTAAATAAAAAAATCAGGGAATGTAAATTAAAAAAGCAAAATAGCTAGGGGCACGCCCATTCCGGCTACTCTTCGCATCTTTTAACAGAAAGTAAATGTATAAAACTTAAAATAAGGGACACCGTACCATCATGACCGCATAGCGCAGTGGATTAGCGCGTCTGACTTCGGATCAGAAGGTCGTGGGTTCGACTCCCACTGTGGTCGGTTAAAAACTACCGCGACTCAGCCTGTAATCTTCAATTTTCGTGGGCCGTCTATCAGTCTCAGACAATAATTCAAATATTTTCTATCATAATTATAATGTGAAAATTTATTTCTTTTTTCTTCATTTTTATGAGCCATGATTAAGTTTTCATAATTATTTTAAAGTTAGGTGTATCAAAAACTCCATCCCACCAATATAACCTGAGTTTCTCATTAAAAAAGAAAATAGAGTTGGTAAATCTTAAAGAGTTAATGTGATGATTAAAAAAGTTAGCTCGATTCTTAAGTTTAAATCTTAAAATTAATATTTAAATATAAATAAAATATAAAAAGTTATTTTTATTTAGTAAAATAACACTTTTAATATATGGTGAGAAAATAATACAACTCCTCAAACACTAATAATTAAAAAGTAATAATTTTTAAGCAATGCTAATGTTTTTATAAAAGATATAAAAACATAACACCTGAATTTTAACTTGATTAGATCCAAGAAACTTGATCAATTTAATAATAAAATTAAACAAGATATTGATAATAAATAAAATAAAAAATAACAATAACTAACTACATAAAATAAATTGTCAATATTATATTACGGATGAGGAAAAAAAAACTTATTGTAAACTTATCATTACTCTATCATGAACATTGCTTCATCATTGGACAAAGCTCACCAAAAACAAAAGGTTATATGATGATATTGAATAAAGTTATATGTGTGATAGCAAAAATCTAAAAAATAAATTAAATAAATTAT